ATATTTATGGAAACCCTTCAAGTAATAGGTTGAAATACAAGAGGTGTATAATCCAGTTATGGAAGTATTTAAGGAGCTTCGACATGTTAAGGATGGCACAGTAGGCCCAGTGGTAGCAGCACTGCCATTTTGCTGTGCAGACTTTCTTCCTTTTGTCATACCATGGGTTTGAATCCCACAACAATGACCCTTTCATGGTTTGTCCACACCAGAACCCCACTCATGAGTTTCACTATGGTGCATGCCACTGAGGTCTTCCACATTGGTGAACAAACTCGGGTGGACTAGGGGCAATCGGGTGGACTGTGGGTGGACTGTGGGTGGACTGTGGGTGGACTGTGGGTGGTCTGTGGGTGGTCTGTGGGTGGACTGTGAGTGGGCTGTGGGTGGTCTGTGGGTGGTCTGTGGGTGGACTGTGGGTGGACTGTGGGTGGTCTGTGGGTGGTCTGTGGGTGGACTCTGGGTGGGCTGTGGTGGGCTGTGGTGGGCTGTGGGTGGTCTGTGGGTGGACTGTGAGTGGGCTGTGGTGGGCTGTGGTTGGGCTGTGGGTGGACTGTGGGTGGACTGTGGGTGGACTGTGGGTGGACTGTGGGTGGACTGTGGGTGGGCTGTGGGTGGACTGTGGGTGGACTGTGGGTGGACTGTGAGTGGGCTGTGGGTGGACTGTGGGTGGACTGTGAGTGGGCTGTGAGTGGACTGTGAGTGGGCTGTGAGTGGACTGTGGGTGGACTGTGGGTGGACTGTGGGTGGGCTGTGGGTGGACTGTGGGTGGACTGTGGGTGGACTGTGGGTGGACTGTGGGTGGACTGTGGGTGGACTGTGAGTGGGCTGTGGGTGGTCTGTGGGTGGACTGTGGGTGGGCTGTGTGTGGGCTGTGGGTGGACTGTGGGTGGACTGTGGGTGGTCTGTGGGTGGACTGTGAGTGGGCTGTGGGTGGTCTGTGGGTGGTCTGTGGGTGGACTGTGAGTGGGCTGTGGTGGGCTGTGGTTGGGCTGTGGGTGGTCTGTGGGTGGACTGTGGGTGGGCTGTGGTGGGCTGTGGTTGGGCTGTGGGTGGTCTGTGGGTGGACTGTGAGTGGGCTGTGGTGGGCTGTGGTTGGGCTGTGGGTGGACTGTGGGTGGACTGTGGGTGGACTGTGGGTGGACTGTGGGTGGGCTGTGGGTGGACTGTGGGTGGACTGTGGGTGGACTGTGAGTGGGCTGTGGGTGGACTGTGGGTGGACTGTGAGTGGGCTGTGAGTGGACTGTGAGTGGGCTGTGAGTGGACTGTGAGTGGACTGTGGGTGGACTGTGGGTGGACTGTGGGTGGGCTGTGGTGGGCTGTGGTTGGGCTGTGGGTGGTCTGTGGGTGGACTGTGAGTGGGCTGTGGTGGGCTGTGGTTGGGCTGTGGGTGGACTGTGGGTGGACTGTGGGTGGACTGTGGGTGGACTGTGGGTGGACTGTGGGTGGGCTGTGGGTGGACTGTGGGTGGACTGTGGGTGGACTGTGAGTGGGCTGTGGGTGGACTGTGGGTGGACTGTGAGTGGGCTGTGAGTGGACTGTGAGTGGGCTGTGAGTGGACTGTGAGTGGACTGTGGGTGGTCTGTGGGTGGACTGTGGGTGGGCTGTGGTGGGCTGTGGTTGGGCTGTGGGTGGTCTGTGGGTGGACTGTGAGTGGGCTGTGGTGGGCTGTGGTTGGGCTGTGGGTGGACTGTGGGTGGACTGTGGGTGGACTGTGGGTGGACTGTGGGTGGGCTGTGGGTGGACTGTGGGTGGACTGTGGGTGGACTGTGAGTGGGCTGTGGGTGGACTGTGGGTGGACTGTGAGTGGGCTGTGAGTGGACTGTGAGTGGGCTGTGAGTGGACTGTGAGTGGACTGTGGGTGGTCTGTGGGTGGACTGTGGGTGGGCTGTGGTGGGCTGTGGTTGGGCTGTGGGTGGTCTGTGGGTGGACTGTGAGTGGGCTGTGGTGGGCTGTGGTTGGGCTGTGGGTGGACTGTGGGTGGACTGTGGGTGGACTGTGGGTGGACTGTGGGTGGGCTGTGGGTGGACTGTGGGTGGACTGTGGGTGGACTGTGAGTGGGCTGTGGGTGGACTGTGGGTGGACTGTGAGTGGGCTGTGAGTGGACTGTGAGTGGGCTGTGAGTGGACTGTGAGTGGACTGTGGGTGGACTGTGGGTGGACTGTGGGTGGGCTGTGGGTGGACTGTGGGTGGACTGTGGGTGGACTGTGGGTGGACTGTGGGTGGACTGTGAGTGGGCTGTGAGTGGTCTGTGGGTGGACTGTGGGTGGGCTGTGTGTGGGCTGTGGGTGGACTGTGGGTGGACTGTGGGTGGTCTGTGGGTGGACTGTGAGTGGGCTGTGGGTGGTCTGTGGGTGGTCTGTGGGTGGACTGTGAGTGGGCTGTGGTGGGCTGTGGTTGGGCTGTGGGTGGTCTGTGGGTGGACTGTGGGTGGGCTGTGGTGGGCTGTGGTTGGGCTGTGGGTGGTCTGTGGGTGGACTGTGAGTGGGCTGTGGTGGGCTGTGGGTGGACTGTGGGTGGACTGTGGGTGGACTGTGGGTGGGCTGTGGGTGGACTGTGGGTGGACTGTGGGTGGACTGTGAGTGGGCTGTGGGTGGACTGTGGGTGGACTGTGAGTGGGCTGTGAGTGGACTGTGAGTGGGCTGTGAGTGGACTGTGAGTGGACTGTGGGTGGACTGTGGGTGGACTGTGGGTGGGCTGTGGGTGGACTGTGGGTGGACTGTGGGTGGACTGTGGGTGGGCTGTGGGTGGACGGACTGTGGGTGGACTGTGGGTGGACTGTGGGTGGGCTGTGGGTGGACTGTGGGTGGACTGTGAGTGGGCTGTGAGTGGACTGTGAGTGGGCTGTGAGTGGACTGTGAGTGGACTGTGGGTGGATTGTGGGTGGACTGTGGATGGGCTGTGGGTGGACTGTGGGTGGACTGTGGGTGGACTGTGGGTGGACTGTGGGTGGGCTGTGGGTGGACGGACTGTGGGTGGACTGTGGGTGGACTGTGGGTGGGCTGTTGGTGGGCTGTGGGTGGACTGTGGGTGGACTGTGGGTGGGCTGTGGGTGGGCTGAGGGTGGGCTGTGGGTGGGCTGTGGGTGGACTGTGGGTGGGCTGTGGGTGGGCTGTGGGTGGACTGTGGGTTGGCTGTGGGTGGACTGTGGGTGGACTGTGAGTAGGCTGTGGGTGGACTGTGAGTGGGCTGTGGGTGGGCTGTGGGTGGGCCTTGGGGCAGCGTGAGAGAAATATGGTGGGTTGCCTACAACAGATGGTGAAGATATTTGTGTGGCTTTCATTCATGAGCAATTTAGGGTCGTACACTAAAACATTGACCAGCAATTGACAGGGTGGACAGCCTACCCAGGTCCACCCTCCCACAGCAACAACCCTTTCATTTTTCACTATTTTCCTCCCGGCACCCCAAGAAAATCAAATGGTCGGCCACCTGATGTCAGAGTCGGTGGTGATCAGTAGGGGCAGTATACAGGGCACTAATTCCTGTAGGGTCTATATCCTGTGAGCGGATATCGAGATCACAGCTCCATTACAGGAACTGCTCCTACTCAGGCACGGGGATAATCAATGAATATGCTCCATACCACCCAGGTCTCCGCGGGATACGAGACATCCATTGATTTATAGCAGAACTAGTTGTTGTGTTCAAATGATTAAAATTTCTTCCTGATATAACATATTTTTTATATCTGAAACTACTTTTAACATACTTAGAGTTGTCAATACCTATGAAAGGGGGTAGTTATTTAAATTAATGGGGGGGCCACGGGTGTCCCAGTCATCTAAGGTGCCGCGATTCGCTGTGCAGAGTTGCGTCCCTTGGGCACGCCAGTAACCTATGATTGTGGGTTCGAATCCCGGTTCGCCCCGATTATGTTTCTAGGTTTGTGAGCACCATACCCATGCTCATGGGTTTCACCGAAGTGGTAAACGTCTGAGACCTGCATCACTTCGGGCTTTCCTCCCACATTAAGCTGACACGCCGCAATATAACTTGGATATTGTTAAAAGCGGCGTTAAACCCAACTCACTCACTCACTCACTAATTTAATGGGGGTGATCAAAGACTTAAAGAACAACATAATCATTCCCCAATACCACTAGCTTGTCTCCCTGTTGGGATTCTGGGGCCAGCTAGGTCCCTAAAACACATTGTTGTCTCCATGTTGTGAGACTAGGTACCACATCCCCCTTGCTGGTCATTGAAGTCAACTAACATGGTGGTTGGAAGTCACAGTGACAGACATGTGATGAACTGGCAGAGGGTGTCAAGGACATTGAATGAGAGACCTGGAGTGTCGTGTAGTCCTGGAGGGGATAGCTGCTCATGCTGTCAGCCACTGGTTTGTGTGGCCAAGACTTGATCATTGACAGACCATAGTGATTCAGCTCTTACGACCAGCGGAGGTTGCTGGGGAACAATTCTGTCCCACAATCACACAGGGTTTTGTAAACGTGAAATGAATTATTTTCACTCCACCCCACTTTCTTATTCCCAAATGTGAAACCCATTTCTGGTGTTTCCCGCCATGATATTGATGGAATATTGCTAAAAGTGGCGTAGAATCATACTCACTCACTCACTCACTCTTTTTCACAAAAATAAGACCGCCTACGTGGTCTAGTGGTAGAGGGTCCACCTGGATAGCGGAAGGTCAGGGGTTTGATCTCCGGCCGCGCCATACCAAAAGACGTCAAATGATGGTACTTGTTGTTACCCTGTCTCGCGGAGAGCATTAAGGGGCTAAAACAAGGACTGGTCGGCTCGGAGTCAGTATAATGTGTCAGAGTGGGGTATTCATGTTGAACTGCGGCAGGGTATCTCAGTGTGCTAGCACTATAAATCGGCATCAGTCCTGACTAGTACAAGCCCCCCTCCACACACACACATGCATCACATCTCTATATAAGTGCAATAATCTTGGCCCCCATTTCACCTCACCTCACAAAGACAAGAAAGCACTTGGTCTCATCACAACACAACAACAGTCTACTCACCTGTATACTTCCTTCTCCGCCGGCTCTCCATAGAACGGCCTGCTCCACGCGGAGTGGTACCGCTCATGTTCACGGGCCTGCATAAACGTCCTCCGTTTGTCATTCTGGTGATGCTGGGCCGTCGTCTCCCAGCTAGAGTTGATGCGACGCTTCGGTGGCGGTGGGGACAGAGGGTTGATGCGTTTTGGGAATTCCACATAGTCGAACGTGCTGGTGAGGTGGCGGGGTGGGTAGGGCCCATAGTGGGACTGGGCGGAGAAGGACCGCGGTAGTGGGGTGGGGGGTGGGGTGGAGACAGGGGTCCCCCGGGGGGTTATACGGGGTAGGGTTGTTGTGGTCGCCATCGAGACCTGGAAACTAAAAAATAAAGAAGTGTTGACAATATAGTTTGAAATATTCAAAAGAACTTTACTGTCAATTAAATTTCATGTGATGATGTATACATAATTGCAAGACAAACATGTATTATTATTATTATTATTATTATTAGTTTGAAACAGACAGACAGACAGACAGACAAGGAAGTCAGTTAAACTTCAGTTCAAGTGAGGTAACAGTTGGGCTGTCCTAAAGGTGAACAGGACACTTTCATCTTTTTATAATGATAAATAGATTTTCATATTAAGTTCATATTTGAATGAAATTCACATTCTGATATATATATATTAAGAAGAAACACTGACAGGAATGGCAAACATAATACATTTTTTGAGGTAACTTGAAATATCTAGTCACTAAGTTTTTTCCTAAAAATGATTTAGAATAATTGTATTTTCAATAACTCAATTGTGACTTGAGACAGTGTCCTGCACTTGACTGCTTGTCTCAAGAGGTCATTAAATAGATCTGTTGGCCAGTTTAGGTGAATTGATTGATGTTTATTTAATACCATGATAGTGTTGGACATTGTTCATTATGTCAACCGCCAGTTTCACTGTCCCAGACTCAGTTATTCACAGGCCACTGTGATATAGCCTGGATATTGAACGTTACCGAAGGCGGCATAACACAACTCAGTTACACAAGGCTGCTTGTGTGTTAGCAAGTTCCTAAACACACCTCTAGTTTGTCATGTTTATTTGGCTATGAGTGAATGTTTTTCATAGCAATAAAGATGTTAACACATATTTAATATATAAATGTACTACATTGTTTCCACAACAATGTACACTCCACACTGCAACATCTTCTTGTAATATATCATACTGTTAATATTGAGGGGCATTATTATTAATAATCTCCCACTTTGATAATACTTTGATATATATTGCTACTTGTGATGTTTTATATATTACAAGTGAATGTTTGATATATAATGCTATTGTTATATTTGCTATATATTGCTACTGTTATATTTGCTATATATTGCTATTGTTATATTTGCCATATATTGCTATTGTTATATTTGCTATATATTGCTATTGTTATATTTGCTATATATTGTTATTGTTATATTTGCTATATATTGCTACTTCTGATATTTGTTGTATATTGCTGATTCAACATAAACCAACAAACTGCTGAGTGATGGAGAAATAGAAAGAGTCTACAGATCAGCATCATCAACATCCCACAGGTTACACATATCTAGCATTATGAAATATACCTTGTCACTGGAGACATATTAGAAAATATTAGAAGATCTTCGTAGAAGAACATATTGTCTCATGTGGACAGAAAGTGGAAGCCATTCACTCCTGTGTTGGAATTTGATTGATAAATCATGATCTACCTCTCAAGGAATTGTCTCTCAACCTGTTTTTCCCATGTAGTCCTATTCAGTATGTGAGTTTACAAACCTCTTTTCATAATTGTGTCAACTTGCATAAAGAACTACTTCACAGGTTTGAATTTTTCTTTTCTAAAAGTACATATAATTGGGTATACAATAAATGGCAGATTTAATATTTCTTTCAATCATTCCTAAAGTTCTTCAGTCATTCAAAAGTTCAAATCAAGTATGCCAAACATTCAATATCTGATAAAACTATACATAAGTAAAACACTTCAATGTTTTATTATATTTCAGATATTATTAATTTTATTAACAAAATATCTAAAATTCAAAATCTTGAAAGTTTGCATCGTGGATATGTGAAATATGTATGTCAACAATATATCACTGTTGGTTGATCAGTTTTGAGTGTAATTAGCTATCACTGAAGTCATCTCTCCTAGATCCTGTATACATAACCTGTCTTTCTTACACAAGAACGCAGCTATTTTCCCCACGAGTCGCTCTACACAATACCACTGACTACCTGACATGAGAACTCCTCGTATGTCTTGGGTTTAATCTGAGCAATCTTACACACTCCACTGCTATAGAAATGTCAATATGAGGTTGTGATTTAATCAGCTTTTCGTGTACTTTTCCAAGTTTCAAGATGAAGCACATCAAGTTTATTAAAGCACACATTTTCTGTTTCATAGTTAATAATACCAATATATATGACAGCAACAAGCTGTTATCACCAAGGCGCCTTTAATATGAAGTTAATTCCAGACGAATATGAAGGGAAGTATGTATGTAGACAGTGACAAGTTTGAGTAATAATTATATTATATTGATCATGTAAGTAATATAATTATGATACAATTATGGATACTCACGTCCAGGTTTTGTGTTTTGCAAGTCCAAGATTTAATCACAGTTATTGAGCTCGGTTTATCTATGCGAAACTAGCGAGAACCATTCGGGTCGCTCAATGCGGTTGTCGAGGTGTCACGTGACCAAACGTCGCTACGTTACCTGGTGGAGCGCATGTTGTGTTTACATTCGCGACAGCGCTCCCGTATGTGTAGCGCAGAATGCTGTTAATTGCGGCTAACAGTGTGTCAATGACACGGTTCAACTTACATTTAACATGTCAATCTTTGCATTGAATTAAACGATACTTGTCGTGCGTGTTGCGTAAAACCTTTTAAGCGATAACGGGATCTTTTAGGATAAATCGCTTATCAAAATCAGTGTTGTTTGTGCAGGAGATTAATTTGAAGAATAACGAACTGCATTCGAATGAAATAATGTTATAGGAAAGAAATAAAAACTGGTTTTATTTTTGGAGTCTTTAATTAATATGATAATATCACGAGATACACTATTTGAAAAGTAAATTTCTAAGTTTATAAAGTGTTAAATTATTAAATTACTTTTTAAACCATTTGTTAAATATGTTATAATTGAATCAAGTTTTGAAAAAAGTGTGTCCTTTAAATTAAATGAACGTATTAAGAAATAATAGGTGAACGAGCTTTGTTAACAATCAAAGTAAGAAAATAAAATGGAACCCTTAAGCTTCTTTATGCAAAAGAATAACCTCTATGACAACGACATCGGCAACAGATCACCGGCCCGTAGGGTAGCCTAGTGGGTGGAGCACTGGCTCGTCATGCTTAGGGCACGGGTTCGAATCTTAACCGTGGTTCAACGCGTGCAACCCAATATTGGCTTCCATCGCTGGAATATATACAACTAAAAAAAAGTTAAAGAACACTCCATTTCTTCACATGAGTATAGTTAATCTATCATGACTGTGGGTACATCCTTTAACTTGTGGGTGTTGTTTTATTTGTTTTGAGAAGTATGTTAAAATGATAAAAAGACAAGTCAGTTGATCACCGCCGTTTTCTATGGTGATTGACTGGACGCTTCAACCACTTCTCTTTCCGTAGATATTTTGTTTGTTGTTTAACGTCGAACTGAGCAATATTCCTGATATATGATGGCAATCAGTAAATAATCGAGTCTGGACCAGACAATCCAGTGATTGACATCATGAGCATCGATCCACGCAATTGGGATACAATCACGTGCATCAACTAAGTCAGCGAGCCTGACAAACCGATCCTGTTAGTCGCCTCTTACAAGCATAGTCGCCTTTTATGGCAGGCATGAGTTGTTGAAGGAATATTCTACCCCGGATCTTCACGGGTCCTTTCCATAGGGAGAAAAATCAGTTAGAAGTTAACACTAAAATTTGCGTTTTTATTTTGTCCTATAATGTCAAATGTCGATTAGGTTTCATCCTCGATTATCCAGCGTAATATATGATAGAATGCACTGGATAATCGAGGGTGATTTCTTGACAGAAGTAATTGTATTAGTACACACAGGCGCGATGACGACACCTGCACTGCAACCTTATTGAATATGTTTGTTTGTTTGCTTGTTATGGGATTTACCTAGCTGGGTTATGTATTTCGGGGGTTCACAGGGATTGGCAGCCTAATATGGAACCGTATTAGTTCCACAGTCCCAGTATTCTTTATCATCTTCGTATGATCTATTATATGGTCTCTGGTATGATGCTTTTTTTTAGACTTGTGACACTAATACGCTTCCATAGCCTTCATTTGTAGGAGTCCTAGGTTTGAAATATGGGACCCCCAGGGAAATGTCAAACATTGAACATAACAATGTTAATCTAAATAAAGCAACTTATGCACTTGGTTGTTTTCAAGTGACTTAATATATACTACGTCAAAAAAGTAAAGGAACACACACCATTTAGTACATATTTTGGGAAAAGTAAAATGTACTGTACAGTATATGATGTCTAGAGGTGCATGTGGAACACTGCAGAGGTAAGGTAAACAGACATGCAGTTGTCAATGTCAAAACAAAAACGAAAATGTGAAAAACATAACTGAAAATGTCAAAAACTAAAATGAAAATACAGAAAAGTATTTCTACCGCGGTGATAATATTTCGACATTTCGTTTTTGTTTTTGACATTTTCAATTTAGTTTTTGACCTTTTCGTTTTTGTTTTGGACATTTTCATTTCAGTTTTTGACATTTTTGCTTCACTTTTCAGCGATTCAATATATACTTTATACATGATTTATCACATATTTGTATGACAAATCGTGTTAATTTGCAAAAGGTTCAATAACAGAAAGTGAAATGTCCCTTAGGGGCCACCGTAGGCTGGTGATCGTTAATATCGTTGTGCCGGCCTGACGTCAGAGATTCATCACCGCCAATGCACTTCGACTGCTACTGAGACATGCCACACATGTGAACGTCAGTGCACAGACAATTCGGACAGTATCCGAGCCATTGGTATCCGTAGTAGACGTTCCCCCCCGGCCTCTCTCACCCCACCCCACTTCTTCAACGTCACAGAGCAGCCCTTCTTGTTGCATGGTGCCGTGCGCATCAGCGTTGGAATCATCAGGGCTGATCAAGGTTCAGCACCAGGGCCCACATGCACAAAGCGATCTTAGCAGTAACACTATTGTAAGCCTCTGTTGAAGTATGGGAGTTACGATCATCTTAGCACTAAGATCGCTTTGTGCAAGTGGGTCCAGGGGCGGTATTCATAAAAAACTAATATTTTTCTCAGGTCTAAACTTGAGTTTTTGAAATCTGACTTAGCTAAGGAGTTTTAGCTGTGGAATAAAGCACGTCCGACGGTTTTTATGATATTTTAATCCCGCAGTCGCGGGATAATGGTTTTAAATATCACAATAACCCGAGCATCTTCCCGAGGCAAGAGAGTTAACCGACTTTTAAAGTCCAGTTTCCACCCTTACCGAACAAAGCTGGAAGTCCTTGGGTCGATCGTAGCACCACCAGTGGCTATTACGAGTTATGTCCCTTCTATGTCTCTCCCATGAACCAATGAGATTCCACCCCTCGTATCACTTGCATTTGCTTCAAACAAAATGGCGGCGTCGAGTCAGGACGATCTGATCGATAATCAAGATCTATATTGTGATAAAACAGATCCTACCTCGCGAAGTGCATCAGAATACGTGAGCACCGTGATTAAAAACATGAAAAGATTTAGAATATATCTGTTGACACCGAGTTGGCGGTGCACATGATTTGCAAATCCTGCAATCGACCGAAATCTGCACGACAGTTTACGAACCGGATTTCGATTTCATTGCGCGTTTTTGATTGGACTATGCATATACTCGTTAGTTCAGCCAAAATCAAACTGCATATTAGCAGCCTAGTTCGGCAAGGGTGGAAACTGGACTTTCATAGTCAGTTACCTCCCTTGCCTCGGGAGAATGTAACACGAGGGGAAGTATTGTATCTAACTTATAAACCGAAAAAAGAAACTTAAAACAACATTTATGAACATTTTTATGGTGCAAACATTCTTTCCATGAACCTTAGGAAACGGGCGTAAAATATCTGTTGCTGGCGTTCGGTTCTTGATAAAGACATTCTTAAAAGCTCTGTGTTTGATCAGCGCCTTTGAAGCCTGCTGGAGCACTCACTTGTCTTCAGATTCGAAGGTTTCGTGTTCGATCCTAGGGAATATATAGAAAACATTTGTCATTCGATTTTACATTTCATTACATTGTGTTCAAATGCAAAATATGTGTCTGGCGAGAAACATTCATATGTTACAATCTAAATGGAAGTTTATATAAAATCCCATGGATTTTATAACATCCCTGTTTATGAGATTTAACCCGATTGGAAAACAATAGGATGACGTCACTGAAGGTTATGAAAAGCGTTCTAAATAAGCCGCTTGAAAGCTAGGCATTTCGTTGTCTATACATAGAAACAGAGCCTTATGCGCGCTTGGCGATGGGATGATTGATGTAGAGCTCTGGTGACAGGCCAACAACGACCCAAAGCTGAGAGATGGGGCTTCTCGTTGTCAGCTTGCTGGCTCTGGGGGTGGGGCTCGTCACCCCGTGGGTGGGGACGATCAGGATAGGAGCCTTCAATATTAAGTCGTTTGGTAGAAGGAAGATGGGGGACCCCATTGTGGCCCAGATTATTACTCAGGTAAGCTAAATGTGGAGAGTGAGGCGTGGTGTAGCATTGTTGAAATATGTGTCAACCGCATCAGTTCAGACTGAGGTCAGACTGAACGTGAATATCAATAGGTTACATGTTTTTGAAAAGGAGACTATATTCATGTATATTTCGTTCCTTTTGAGTATGCTTTGTTTGTTTATTTATTTGTTTGTTTGTTTGTTGTTTAACGCTGCACTCAGCAATATTCCAGCTCTATGACGGCGGTCTGTAAATAATCGAGTCTGGGCCAGGCAATTCAGTGATTGACATCATGAAACATGATCCACGCTGGATCCACATCGATCCACGCAATTGAGATCGATGACATGCATCAACCAAGTCAGCGAGCCTGACCACCCGATCAAGTTAGTCGCCCCTTACGACAAGCATAGTCGCCTTTTACGGCAAACATGGGGTGCTGAAGATCTATTCTACCCTGGATCTTCACGGGTCTTATGACCATGCAATAAATGAATAAGGAAATACACATGTATAAGACAACATATCTCTGAAGTAGATTCTTTATTAGACATTACCTAGAAGTTGACGGATGACAAAGTAGACACACTTTATAGATAACAACTTCTTTATATACTGTAAAGGCGACAAAGGTGTATACGTTCATAACGGTACAAGGATCTATACCGAAATGTCGCCTTTACAGTAAATAACGAAGCTGTTATCCATAGATTGTGTCTACTTTGTTATGTTTCTGGAGTGATGATCGGATATTCCTTCCAAGGAATTCATATTTTCCACGGAATAAGTTTGTCACGGATGAGGAGTCATGGCATCCCCTGGTTATACAGTTGGTCGGTTGATAAGGGATTCAGATATCCGGACATTCGTTTATCCTGACAACATCTGAGAACAAGGTTCGACTGTCTTCCATATCCTAGTTTACACTGGTGGTGTAAAACGTGCCGCGGCATGTGAACAATATCCGTATCTAATCATAGTATAGCCATACAGGACACGTAATTCGGCATTGGAGTCAGCGATTGCAAGCATTGCTAGCGATAACAGCTGTGAAATAGCATTATTTTTGCATCAAACAATAATTATTGAAAGTATAAATTATAGGGCGTATTTTGAAACTGAAACTTTGACATCAACATTTTGTAGTGTCTAGATATTTATTCCAACTCAAGGAGCTAGTAAACAATATTCCAAGGTAAGTATAACATGGAACTACCTCAATATATGCAACCACGTATATGCATTTCTTTGAGAATTTAAAATAAAAAAAACTTTTTGGTAAAGGAAAATATAGTCATCATATTACTGCTATTTGTGTCAACATTTCGTGAAATTGATGATGATCTTTAGGCAATATTATTTGTGTGTGAAAGGTTCTCAAGTTTATGAGGTGTTTTTGTTTAACGCCACACTCAGCAATATTCCAGCTATATACATGACGGCGGTCTGTAAATCATCGAGCCTGGACCAGACAATCCAGTGATTGATGTCATGAGCTTCGATCCACGCAATGGGATGCGACTACATGTATCAACCAAGCTAGCGAGCCTGACCACCCGATCCCGTTAGTCGCCTCTTACGACAAGCATACTTGTCTTTTACGGCAAGGATGGGTTGCTGAAGAACTATTCTACCCAGGATCTTCACGGGTCATATGTTTGTGAAGATGGTTAAATGTAAACAGTTAATGGTAAATATATTAAAAGCTGATAATATTGAAAACGTTTCTTAATCCATATTCCGGTTGTACATGTGTTCAACTGTGTCCTAACCCTACAGGCCTCAGTCTATTTCATCATTAAACTGTACGCTAGTCCATTAGGCATATTATACTACAGACGCATCTCTCTGACACCTAACATGACACACCGTGGTGAAACCTAACATGACACACTGATGTGAAACCTAACATGACTCACCGTGGTGAAACCTAACATGACATACTGTGGTGAAACCTGACATGACTCACTGTGGTGAAACCTAACATGACATACTGTGGTGAAACCTAACATGACATACTGTGGTGAAACCTGACATGACACACTGATGTGAAACCTAACATGACACACCGTGGTGAAACCTAACATGACATACTGTGGTGAAACCTAACATGACATACTGATGTGAAACCTAACATGACTCACCGTGGTGAAACCTAACATGACACACCGTGGTGAAACCTAACATGACATACTGTGGTGAAACCTAACATGACACACTGTGGTGAAACCTAACATGACACACTGTGGTGAAACCTAACATGACACACCGTGGTGAAACCTAACATGACACACTGTGGTGAAACCTAACATGACACACTGTGGTGAAACCTAACATGACACACTGTGGTGAAACCTAACGTGACACACCGTGGTGAAACCTAACATGACACACTGTGGTGAAACCTAACATGACTCACTATGGTGAAACCTAACATGACACACTGTGGTGAAACCTAACATGACACACTGATGTGAAACCTAACATGACACACCGTGGTGAAACCTATCATGAAAAACTGATGTGAAACCTAACATGACACACTATGGTGAAACCTAACAAGACATATTTTGGTGAAACCTAACATGACATACTGTCGTGAAACAGACCAAACATCATAATCAGGGGAAATCAAGGATTCGAACCCATGATCAGCGGATCCTGGTACAACTTTGTCTACTGGTTCTATCCTTGCTACAGGCGCGGCCCGCACACACGGGAATTGCAGGCGAGTAGCTTGGGTATGGCAGATGGGGATTCTAAGGTTTGACAAACAGTTCACAAAGCTTCCTGCCCAGTCACAATGAACACACATGCATCTGTTCCTACCGCGTTTTGGTGCCCTGGTTCGTGTTTCCAGGTCATCCCCTGTTAAAAGCCACCGTCATATTTTGCAGATCGTCAGTCGCTATGATGTTATTCTCATACAGGAAATCCGGGACATTACAAACACGGCCGTCAATGAGCTGCATAGTAACCTCTCTGCACATGTCAAAGCTGCGAATCCGTCAGTACCATGTTTTATTCATCATGTTCACATCCCTGCTTAAACACATTCGTAGTGGAAATAAGTTAAAGCACAATTTTAACCTTTGTAATTAACCTGAGTGGCAGAAGAAACTATATGTCTCAGTTGATTTTATCTAAATATTTGATTTTCAATTTAAAATATCTAAACAAATTTGCATTTATCTGCACATGGGGGTAACTTGTGGTTGCAAACCCATTTCTACCCCAGTCTTCATTGAACCAATTTAATTTTAGACAATATTACCCAGCCACAGATAAATGATTACAGTTGCATAACTGAGTAATGGTTAAAAAGACACAATAAATTTTAAGAACAATTCTTTCAATTTTCAATTACATAAAAAACTACTTCGGTACACTTTCTTATGCCTCTCACTTTGTATCTATTATAACCGTCGCCACACTGAACGTCATATACTAGTTGTTGGTTGGTCGAAAATACTTTTTCCGTCATCTGATTGGTTGCGTGTGGTTGTTTCCTCTCAGGTCCGCGTGTTTTTCCTTCAAGATCAGTCCAAGGCTGGGGAGATCGAGATATAAAGAACAGTACGCCTTCTTCTACAGGTTTGTGTTCTTTGATAAAGTCAGATATGTTTTTCGTATCTAATGAACTTTCGGAGCTTATACCATTAATGTGACATAGAATATCATGATTCTTTCCCCATGTTGCTTCCTCAACCCAGGTCGGGACAAGAAATCAGTAAGATAGGTTTTTTGTAGTATTTTTGGAAGGTGGGTCTGTAATTTTAAAAATAATGTTTCTACCCTAAATATCAGTTAAACAAGCATATTGATCGATAAAGATGGCGCTCAGAAAGAACCGTTAATTGTAATATCAATGATAATGAATAATTAAAACAAATAACCATAATAAAGAATACACGTGTAATATTACTTTGAGGAAATAGATCAATGAAGCACTTACGAATTGTTTGTAAATTTTGAAACGTAATCCATTGTTTGTGATCATCAGATCTGACAGGGTCGACGTTGTGGCCAGCCACCTGTTTACTGAGAGTAGAGGAGACGTGTTCGAGCGAGAGCCGTTCTGTTTGTTGCTCAACATCCCGGGGCTAGGTGAGAACCGTTCTGTTTGTTGCTCAACATCTCGGGGCAAGGTGAGAGCCGTTCTGTTTGTTGCTCAACATCCCGGGGCAAGGTGAGTGCCGTTCTGTTTGTTGCTCAACATCCCGGGGCAAGGTGAGAGCCGTTCTGTTTGTTGCTCAACATCCCGGGGCAAGGTGAGAGCCGTTCTGTTTGTTGCTCAACATCCCGGGGCAAGGTGAGAGCCGTTCTGTTTGTTGCTCAACAACCCGGGGCAAGGTGAGAGCCGTTCTGTTTGTTGCTCAACATCCCGGGGCAAGGTGAGAGCCGTTCTGTTTGTTGCTCAACATCCCGGGGCAAGGTGAGAGCCGTTCTGATTGTTGCTCACCATCCCGGGGCAAGGTGAGAGCCGTTCTGTTTGCTGCTCATTATTCCGGGTCAGGTGAGAGCCGTTCTGTTTGTTGCTCAACATCCCGGGGCTAGGTGAGTGCCGTTCTGTTTGTTGCTCAACATCCCGGGGCAAGGTGAGAGCCGTTCTGATTGTTGCTCACCATCCCGGGGCAAGGTGAGAGCCGTTCTGTTTGTTGCTCATTATTCCGGGGCTAGGTGAGAGCCGTTCTGTTTGTTGCTCAACATCCCGGGGCTAGGTGAGTCCGTTCTGTTTGTTGCTCATTATTCCGGGGAAAGGTGAGTGCCGTTCTGTTTGTTGCTCACCATCCCGGGGCAAGGTGAGAGCCGTTCTGTTTGTTGCTCAACATCCCGGGGCTAGGTGAGAGCCGTTCTGTTTGTTGCTCAACATCCCGGGGCAAGGTGAGTGCCGTTCTGTTTGTTGCTCAACATCCCGGGGCAAGGTGAGTGCCGTTCTGTTTGTTGCTCAACATCCCGGGGCTAGGTGAGACCGTTCTGTTTGTTGCTCACCATCCCGGGGCAAGGTGAGACCGTTCTGTTTGTTGCTCACCATCCCGGGGCGAGGTGAGAGCCGTTCTGTTTGTTGCTCAACATCCCGGGGCAAGGTGAGTGTCGTTCTGTTTGTTGCTCACCATCCCGGGGCGAGGTGAGTGCCGTTCTGTTTGTTGCTCAACATCCCGGGGCAAGGTGAGTGTCGTTCTGTTTGTTGCTCAACATCCCGGGGCAGGTGAGAGCCGTTCTGTTTGTTGCTCAACATCCCGGGGCAGGTGAGTGCCGTTCTGTTTGTTGCTCAACATCCCGGGGCAGGTGCGTACAGCTGTTGGTCTTGTATCGCTGTAGGGGTCATGTGTGACTGTAAGTGTTGGGAATAGATTAAATGTGAGCTTAGGTATTGGTTCTAAAGTAATATGAATGTGAACTGAGAATGTGAGTGTGAGCATGATTGCTGGTGTTAGTTGGGGACATTTTGTTATGAGCTACCAGTGCTTGAAATGCCATGAAAAGTGAAAAGTGGTTATATCGTATAACAAAATGACATAGATACACACTCAATAGTGTTGAAACATTAAAAGACCTGCTTATTTTAATGTGACTTAATTCAAACAGCGGTATGAAATGTAATTTATGTTAAATAGCTTTAACGAGCTAATGCTTTCAAGGATGACTATTGTTTCAGCGGGTCCATGGCGGCTTGCACTGGTTGGCCTGCACACAAAACCCACACAAGCCGTTGCCGAGATACAATACCTCTTTGACCAGGTCGAGGCAGAGGTCAAGGTCACATGGAACACACAGGTCAGGCATCTTCTTTGTGAGTCAGTGACGTCATTTATAACGTCACATCGGCAATATTTCAGCCATATAATGACGAGTCTTATTACAAGGAACACCGCCCAGAGTCCAAAGCTCATAATTAATAGCCCACGCTTAATATTTTAATATTAAAAGATGACACGACTAAGAAATGAAAATTTCAGGGAGTCAATACGACTTATGTTAACGTCCCGTTTGAAATAGTGAGTGAGTGAGTGAGTATGGTTTAACGCCGCTTTTAGCAATATTCCAGCAATATCACGGCGGGGGACACCAGAAATGGGCTTCACACATTGTACCCATGTCGGGAATCGAACCCGGGTCTTCGGCGTGACGAGCGAACGTTTGAAATAGAGCTGACAATGGCATAGTCGGCATTATATACAAACTGTATTAATCACAACCCGAGGCAAGGGTGCAGCTGATATACTCATACTATATTCCACAGAACTTGCTGTACCTGGGGGACTTGAACGCTGATTGTCGATACGTCCCCGTGTCACACCAGTTAGTTACAGGGGTGTTCCACCAGCCTGGATACCGCTCACTGATTGGCTCGGACGCAGACACCACAACCGGCAGGTCCCACTGCTCCTATGACAGGTATGATGAGTAGGACAGGTGTGACAGGCCCGACTGATATACATATGTTGTAGAATTGCATTATTAGATTAGAATTGTTACAAAGTATTACATCAAATACTGCCCTTGTCTTCAGCAGAGCATGAGACTGATCGCCGAAAGTGGAGCTAAAATATTTTAGTATTGTGTGCTGTTAGCGTTGTTGTTGGTGTTAAAGTTTTGTGTTGGTTGTGGTGTTGTTGGTGGTGATGTTGTTGTGTGGTGTGGGTGTTGGTTGTGTGATGTTGTGTGGTGTTGGTTGTGTTGTTGTTGTTGGTTGTGTTGTTGGGGCTGGTGTTGGTTGCGTTGTTGTTGTGTGGTGTAGGCGTTTGTGTTGGTGTTTGTTGTGGTGTCATGTTGTGTTTGTTGTGGTGTTGTGTGGTGTTGGTGTTGGTTTTGTGTTGTGTTGTTGTGTGTTGTGGTGTTGGTGTTCTTTGTGGTGTTGTTGTGTGGGGTTGGTTGTGGAGTTGGTGTTGCAGTACATATAGTACAAAGGTGTAACCAGTATTTGTTATATGACTATGGACATATTTTGTATAATTAACCTATCTTTACACAGGTGTATATTTGTTCCTTAATGTGGAGTAGAGTACATCAGAGTATATATGAAATTTTAATATTTTCTAATATTATATATGGCTTTGAAAAAGTCAATGAAAATTACGGCGATTTCAAGTTTATATCCTGTAGTCTCAGTACAAAAGAATAAATGAAGATTCATTCCTATGGAACACATCTCTCCAAACAGTTCCAAAAGCACTATAAGACAACAATGTTTGGGTATGTCGAAGATTTTAAGGAGTTTCAAGCAATATTTAATTACTTTTAGCAGTGAATATATAAATAGAGGAAATCTACCACATTTCTCATAAACCATTGCACTAGATGTGATAATGTTTACACCAAGGAATTCCGTACATGCATACAAGTGAACATTTTCTATATATTACATCAAAGAACTGCAACACACATACTTCAGCACCAAATAATAACATTACTTTAATGTTACAAAAACAACATCTAAAAGAATATGTTGGAACTTATATTACCAATACACTGCATGTTCTTTATTACTCCCAGTAAAATCTTCTATGTCTTTTTTTTATACAGAAAATAACATACTTCTCACTCACACATTCACTCTTGTTTATATATCATATTGCAGTTTAGGAAAGTACATGGTCTCAAACATTAAAATCTTAAGTACAAAACTAAAATTAAATTGAAAGCTGCTCCTCATTTTCGAAAAGCATCCAAGCACCATAGAATTTCTGTTGATTACCTGTCTAAAAAACAACAAAGCAAGATGTACTGATAAGTTGTGCTTTATGTCATGGGCTTTCTGCTACCCTGGGCGGAAGCCCATTTATGTAACAGGTGTGTGTCTTTCTAAAAAACAATAAAATAAAAAAAGAAAGAAAAAAAAAAGAAGAATATTTCTATGCAAAACTGTTAACCCGATGAGCTAACTGTGAATTTGGTGTGGTTATTAATAAGCAAGATGAGCGCCGTAGAATGCACGTTTACCCCTAGTCCTAATTTCTTTAGTATCTGAAAATGAAGAGAGTCTCTGGGCTCCTTATTATTAATTTTTTATTAAAATAATTTAACAAATATTTTTTTTCTGTATAATATGTACCAGATGTTAGTCTAGTTTACCCCCTTCATTCGTTAATTAGACACTGAGATGAACTCAATTTTGATTTTGAGAATACTGATAAAAAAAAGTTAAATCCTGTAAATACAGCACACTTTGGTCATAGGTAGGTCTCTTTGCACCAAATCTGTTACTATGCTGAACAAAAAAAGTTAAGGATCATTAATAACTTTGTTTAGGATATTTTTATGAAATTGTGTGTTCAGGCTTCCCTTCAATAAATATCCTGCACATAAAAAAAAACAAAAAAAACAAAACAATCTTCTATGTCTGAACTGAAGCTTCTCTTACATGAAAAAACAGCTTGAGCTGATTATTGAGATACATCCAGTATTTACAGTGCGTGTTTACTTTCACCGTATCCCAATTGCATGGATCGATGCGCATGATATCAATCACTGGATCGTCTGGTCTTGAATCGATTATTACAGGCCGCCGTCATGTTGCTGGACTATTGCTGAGTGCGGCGTTAAACAACAAACAAACAGATCCAGCGGTTTACATATCGCCTGTTGGTCAATTTGCACTATTATTAAAGCAATAAGTTTATCTCTTTTAACAGTGAGTTTCCAATTGTCACAATGACTTTCTTATACATCAGTTTACGTTTGCAAATCCCCACCCGTGTTTGAAAATATGATAACGCCATTTGCAAATACTTGAAGGAAAAGTTGTACATCACCTGGATTTTATTGAAAATGCGAGACAGTTATAAAGTTCTAACGCTAAATCGTTTATGACAAAAGAGAATATCAATGGATTCAATATGCACTCTTGGCGCACTCCAGATTTGAATTGAAACATGCCAGACATAACCCACTTAACTCCCACACACGTTTTGACATGTTCATCTATACTACATTATAAATTCCATGTACACTGAACAAAATCAACAAATATAGCAGAACACTTTCCACCTTTCATGTTTACAACTCTGTACAACACTATGTTATCGACTATTGAAACCCTTGCCCACAACCAGCTTGAGATTCAGAAATTGTATAAATACAAGTAGCTTGTTAATTATAAAAGTACATATTTTATATTTTTAAGCATTTCTTGTGAAGCGGGATAAAAATACCAATCGACCATTTTTTCAGGAAGTATCCCTTCTCAAACATCATGTTAAAAAACAATTATAAATTAGGCTCAAGATCAGGCGTATACAGAATTCAGAATCAGTGTCATCTACTCCAAGAAATTTCTTGCATTTGAGATGGCCAGTGTTTTTTAATATTTCAGCTTCTGTGTCAGGCACATCGATAATGTCTTCTGTAATTGTATAAGTACAATCATCATTTGGGGCGGTATCATGTTTGCTCGTCACGCCGAAGATCCGGGTTCGATTCCCGACATAATTACAATGTGTTAAGCCCATTTCTTGTGTCCACGGCCGTGATATTGCTGAATATTGCTAAAAGCGGCGTAAAACCATACTCACTTACTCAAGTCATCATCTAACGTCCGGAGAATCGCCCGCTTCATATCTAGTTCCTGTAGAAACATCTCTAACATGTTTAAACCAGCCATCAGTATCAATATTATCTTCACCATAATGTGTACAACTGAACCATTTAACCAGGCATTTATATGGTTAATGTTTCTAACTAAAGATTGCTTCTCATATGAAAAGAGATTCTTGTTTTCTGTCTGCATGTCGTACTATATTTTATTGTAATGTGATTGTAATTCTTTAAAGAGCAAGATCTTTATATTTTCTGAATCTATCAATGTTCTTGCTTCAGCCGTTGACATCCATGATCAAACCATTCATTGCTGTATTTCCTCCTTCCGGTTGGCTTCTTGTGCATGTCATTTGCCGCGGTACATTATGCTTCTGCAATGAGTTCTTTATTTTATCAATGTCGTTAAGGCCAACAATCCACAGATCTATTAAGTGACGCTTGTACATTAACGGATAGCTGTGTTTATCTACGTTATTGTAACGTATTACATACACTCCAATTTAAATCTAAAGTTTCGCTTTGTTTCAGTACTTTTAACATTTTCTCAAGCACTAAACGTTTCTAGCGTCAAAGTGAGCGGACGTTGTGGTGACTCAGCGTCTGACTGGCTAGAAAAATCGCTAGCATGTGCAAACGCAGTCAATTGAGTCCTTACGCTGGGCCAATTCAACCCAGCAAATGCATAATCCCCAATTCACGGTCAGTCTCCGATCTTCCGTTCATGGTATCAAGGTTGCATAGTGAGCACAACCCAAGCAAATATTTTTCAAATTTGTTCACAATGTTGTCAGTAGAGAACTAAAATAATCCAACTTTAAAACCCAGGTAGAGGTTCCATGTCCCAGTCCTTCAACATCAGCGATAGAAACTAACACTATTAGTCCACTAGTCCTTATGATGATACCACAGAGCAAAACCCTTAACATGGCCAATATCTGCTAGTCCTTATGATACCTTTACTCTTGGGCAGTTTTTGAAGGACTTTACGACTAAAGGACAAGCGCCAATGTCTATCCCTAAACATATTAAATAATATACTTTGTCTTCTTCATAATCGGACTTAGTCCCTGCATTAAAGACTACTCCACAAAAAACAAGTGCTTCTCTTTATAGAATTTCCATCAGACTTCACACAGTGATGCCATATCTATTCAACAGAGACAATGTTGTACCAGTTAAATCCCTCACCGTGGATATACATTGTATGCACAGGCACATACACATCAGTATTGCTGCCGTTCAGAGATTTATCTAATAGCCTAAATATGCAACTTACTTCAACTTCATACCATTTCACATATCTATATAGTTATCGCCTCAGTAGTCCTGTTATTCCATTCCCACTTGACAATATAACAGCACCTTTACAATAAAGCGCGTCTTTTATATCCTCTACATGTATATCATTCAACTACGTATCCATGCCACTTGTTACAGCAAACTGCGTTAATAACGAACAGGGTTGTAACGAACAGACGGATATAACGAACTGTTTTTGTCTACTCCATTTGCTGTATGTATGCTGTAAATATATGCTAATAACGAACTACCTTTATAACGAACTTATACTAGTGGTCCCTTTGGGTTACATTATCCGATAACTAATGTTTGATGCACGATACGTGCCAAATTAGCAAGTTAATGGAGCTGCCCCTAGAATCTTCTCTCTCATTTGTTGAATCCCTTGGATGAGGAGTATAATCACTGAGGAGGCCCTGACCACATCCCAAACTCATTTTCCCCGTCCCTTGTCGCTCACGTCTCTCATCTTGGCGGCCGTCACCTCATCCATCCTGGCCGGGGTCGGGGAGCCTGGTGATAAAAGCGGTCGCTCGTCAGGCCGAAGGGTATAATGTGTGAAGCCAATTTCCTGTGTACCCCGCCCCGATTTTGTAGGAATAATGATAAAAGAGGCATAAAACCATACTCCCTCACTCTTCCATCCTTGCGTTTATCGTCACTCTCAGTGTCTCTATAACCATTCTCCATTGTAAACTCTCTCTCTCTCTCTCTCTCTCTCTCTCTCTCTCTCTCTCTCTCACCTCGTACATACCCGTGAAGAGCCGGGTTAGAATACGTCTTCAGCAACCCATGCTTGCCTTAAAAGGCGACTATGCGTGTGTAAGAGGCGACTAGCGGTATCGGGTGACCGCCATCATATAGCTGGAATATTGCTGTATGGCGTTATTGAGTGTGGCGTTAAACAACAAACAAACAACAAACAAAGATTTGCAATAATTACTTCTCTAAAAAACACTGGTCACGAGACACATTTCCATCGTGCACGTGACTGGTGAAGACAACTGGCCATGACACGTACTCTTTGGGGGGGGGGGGGGGGGGGGGGGGGGGTCGGGAGCCTCTGGACGCCCAAACAGCCCCTTCGATCCGCTAGCCGGCTGGATTTGCCTAATAATATGTTCTGAACTAGTTTAGATATGAACTATATGTAGATACTCCCCAGTCATGGAATAACACTGATCATGTACCACACAAATGACGTGTCGCGCGTGGCCAGATTGTATACGATCAGATGTGTCGCCAACTGTGCTGTGTCAGCTTTTGTTTACGACAGTCTTGCACGTGATCAACCAAATTAATAATCTTTAATAATTGTGTTAAGCCGAGGAGTAAATATTAATGGTTCATCTATATTTGGGGTCGATTTAGACTGTCATACAGACCCTGAAACAAATATATTCAATAGAGCAAGTCTATAATAGTGGGCAAATCTAGATTACTGCAGTTTCGGGAGGAATCTCTGGGCTCCTTTTTCATCACACTGTATTAAGATAATCCACATTTTGTTTCTGCGAAACATGTTCATGTCAGAAACTAGATGTTGTTAAAAAGGAGTGTAGGTAACAACACTTTGACAAGAAACTGGTAAGAATGCCAGACTCAACACACTAATAGGTAAATAACCTCGGCTAGGTTAAATAGCGGGGAAAAACACAGAGGGCCTATCCTAAAGATAAGTCTCTTTAACAATAAAATATACGAAAAATGCCTGAACAGCAAACTAGTTTTATAGACTAAAGCCTCAGCCTCTTTGACTGGGCAGGACATTCTAAACTTCGCGATAATACAATCTACTTGAGGTGGGTGTTGACTCACTATCATTAAAAAGGGTACATGACCAAAAGAGTAACTTGACTCTCAACAGTAGAAAGGTACTTGACCTAAACTAGACAATCGCTGGAAAGTTGGTTATCCACGGAATACTAGAAAAACGGGTACGAAATATAAAAGTCAAGCCAATAGGTTTAAGCTCAATACCACAGGGGTAAGTCAGTACCAGAGAGAACACTCCCTCATAACCTCTTTCTGACGATACCTAGGTTTCGACCTGACCTAACCAGTAGCAAGACGAACCGTAAACGGTCTAGCGATACCTAGGTTTCGACCTGACCTAACCAGTAGCAAGACGAACCGTAAACGGTCTAGCGATACCTAGGTTTCGACCTGACCTAACCAGTAGCAAGACGAACCGTAAACGGTCTAGCGATACCTAGGGGTAAGGACACATGGCGTTGCGAAGGGTTACATACGTGTGCGCGGACTTCGGAGAGGACAATCTGCTCTGGTCAGTCGGAGGAATGCAATAGCCTGGTGGGGTAACCCATGGTTTCATAACATTTGAAAGACCCGAATAGCAAACTAAGGACTTAACTATTACGGCAGATGTAGGGATCAAATTCAAGCGCTGAACATAAGCTATCCAGTGGTACCACTATAGATTTACAACCAGATGTGTACAGTTATCGAATTTGCCAGGGGTTGCCGTGCGGTTACGATGCCGGGGAATTAAGAGAGAAGGAAGCCAGTCACTAGACCGTGACTAGACTGGTTTTACGACCCAGTGACACCCAGTGACACCCACGTCGTTACCCCGGTAGCCATAATTAAACTCGGTTTCATCGTTGCCAAATCTGTATCACGTGTATTAAATATTGTCTCACAGTTATTTCGTGTGTTTTAGTGTATGGCATGTACCATCTTCCCGAGGCAAGAGAGTTAACTGACTTCAAAAGTCCAGTTTCCATCCTTGCCAAACTAGGCTGGAATAACTGGGCTCGATCGTAGCGTCACCAGTGGCTATTACCAGTTATGTCCCTTCTGAGCCTCTCCTATGGACCATTGAGATTCCACCTCTCGTATCACTTGCGTTTGCTTCAAACAAAATGGTGGCGCCCGGTCAGGACGATCTGATCGATAATCAAGACCTATCTTGTGATAAAACGGGTCTTACATCGCGAAATGCATCAAATCACGTGAGCACCTTGATTAAAAACATGAACAGATTTGGAAAATATCTGTTGACAACGAGTTGGCGGTACACATGCTTTGCAAATCCTGCAATCGACCGAAATCTGCACGACTGTTTACGAACCGGATTTCAATTTCGGTGCGCGATTATGATTGGACTATGCATAGACTCGTTAGTACAACCAAAATGTAACTCCATAATACCAGCCTAGTTCGGCAAGGGTGGAAACTGGACTATTATAGACAGTTAACTCTCTTGCCTCGGGAAGATGGGCATGTAATCGAATCGTGAAAACAGTTATTGACTAGTTGCAAGTTGGTGAATAACCAAAACTATCAATTGAAAACACTGAGGAGTATTTAGTTCTCATTTTATGTAGTGGAACATTGACTTCTGTCGCATGACTTGGTCTCACTGGGTGTGATAGAGTATGTACTGATGTCGCACAACTAGTTCCCAATTAGTGTAGTGGAACATGTACTACTGTCGCACGACTTGGTCTCACTGGGTGTGATTGAGTATATACTGATGTCGCACAACTAGTTCCCAATTAGTGTAGTGGAACATGTACTATTGTCGCATGACTTGGTCTCACTGGGTATGATGGAGTATATACTGATGTCGCACAACTAGTTCCCAATTAGTGTAGTGGAACATGTACTACTGTCGCACGACTTGGTCTCACTGGGTGTGATTGAGTATATACTGATGTCGCACAACTAGTTCCCAGTTAGTGTAGTGGAACATGTACTACTGTCGCACGACTTGGTCTCACTGGGTGTGATTGAGTATATACTGATGTCGCACAACTAGTTCCCAGTTAGTGTAGTGGAACATGTACTACTGTCGCACGACTTGGTCTCACTGGGTGTGATGGAGTATATACTGATGTCGCACAACTAGTTCCCAGCTAGTGTAGTGGAACATGTACTTCTGTCGCACGACTTGGTCTCACCGGGTTAGATGGAGTATATACTGATGTGGTACAACTAGTTCTCAGTGAAGTGGAACATGTACTACTGCCCCACGACTATATAATCAGGCAATGGTTTCTAGCATTCGTTGAAAAACAGATTGTTGTCTGTACAGGATCGTGGCCACAGGAAGTGATGTCATCAGTGCCGTACAATCTTCAAGAGTCTACCTGTTTGATCTGGATTTAGGTCTTGATTCGACATTAGTAAGTACCGAAACATTGTTAATCTTTGAGGGTATCGTGGAGCATGTGTTACATTTACAGCCCTGAGACTTGTCATTGTTGGATTTAAGGCGCCTGAAGGTGAAGATCATGTACATATTGTATGTTAAGATTGTATTTAAGACATGGCGGATAATCCGCCTGCTTCTTGTATATAACTGCAAACGCTTGTTAGTAAGGTTTGTTTTAGATAGGCCATAGGTCTTGGAATAGCCATACGCACAAACTTAGTACAAAATCATTTCTTGGCTTCACTTTTCAGACCAACAGGGTCAGCGACCACTATCCCGTGGAAGTAGAGCTTCGTGCCCCATAGTCGTGCGCCATTCCTGTCCAGTTTCCTGTACCTACTCCGTCGTCACTGGACGTGTGGATGGGACATATGGAGAGGCAGAATTCAGGAACAAGACCTGTCAACTCGCGAATGCATCACTGCATATGTACAGTCTTCGAAATAATTGTCTAACGACATATATCTCAACTACGAACCAAAAGACTAGTCATTTATCATGAAACTTTCTTCTAGAGCAACAAGGGATCAATTATATATTTCAACGGTTCAAGGGACTATTCGTGCATCATGAAACGTGTCTAAAATGTTCAAGGGACCAGTCATTTATGATAAGTGGGAGTGAACCGGTGACTTAGTTACAATACTCCTTCCCGATTCCGACATTTTCGGGTGACATTCACACCATTAAGTTCTATTAATTCTTCCGTGGCAACAAAAGCTTTATTTAGATTTTTTGTCATGAAAATCAAACGGATTGTCAGTAACTAATTTCAATATTTAACCGTTAATTGATTTTCCATTTCGTATCACTCCCCAAACGATGTATTGTTTACGATTGTAAAGGTAGGTGGGTTCCCAACCCATTTGACCCCTGACCACACCCATATTCCATCCTCCATAATAAAATGCTGCTACCTAAGGTAACGATAGTCATATTTTTCTATCGTGAACATACTCACACCAACATCACGTGTTAAAGTGTTCAATGCGTTTGGCAGCTAACGTAATTGTAACATGTGCAAAGTTGTGAATAACGCCTCTTTGTTGTCTGAAATCTGTCCTCAGGGTCCGTTCGCACAAAGTCATCTTAGCTCATGCTATTCTGTGGTAAAGTACAGGAGACACGCCAGTCATTGTGCTAGTATTCCCTTGCGCAAGAGGGACAAGGTTTTATCATCTACCAAATGTTACCTGGCCGCATTCAGGGCTAATTTAGCTTCATGTTCTAATAGGTCGAACATTCCTCTCTTTCCAGTGTTTTGGAAGGATTTGAGATAACCAATATTTCTTCACTGAGGGTTTGAGATAACCAATATTACAACATAACAACTTGAAATTTCTCGTTAGTATCTTGAAAACGGAAAATGACAAATGAAACATTCTTTGATTGAGAAGATCGTCAACTTTCGCCAAGGCATATATATGAAGGCAATGTAAACTTTGTTGATATTAAACTAGCAATAAGTTATGCCGAGGTCGGGCGAAGCCCGCCATGTTTGATTTTCGAACGTCTTCTGGCATCATGACACGATATTTGTGTTTTCGTATATCGTAAATAAAAACACTTGAAATTAGGATTGGTGGATATTTATGAGTCATTAATTGATTCCTGCAAATTTTGTAACGTGACACGTTCGATTTACCCGAATGTTCAAATTTCTACAACTGACATGATGACCTCGAAACTGTTTTTTTTCTTTTGAATGTTTGGATAATAAATTTACTGAAATCGCGCTGTTATTTACCAATAAAAAAAAATCTATAATCAGTTAAAATAAAGATATCGGATATATTTATTGAAATCAATTTGCACAAATTTAACGATTTAAAAAGGTTCCTAACATGAAACGTAAACCACCTTCAATAACGTAATTCAGGCAAGTTCACGAAAATTTACAAATTTTGTGTTCACTTTGGTCTTGGTGTGATTTAAAACATCAGGACATTTTTACATAGTATTGTGTAGTAAACTATCACGAATAAATGTGCAAAATATTTCTTCAAATGGCCTTTGTTTAATGAAGCAGCGACTGGTTGAAAGTGTCCAGTAAGCTTTCCACCCAAAAGATGTTGCTAGGCTACGCAGACAAACGCAGTGACCGAACGATTGCATCCAAAAGTAGGAGAGATATGACAATCGGTGTTAGGAGAAAAGGTACAGGTAATCGACGTTAGGATTGTGAGAATATGCGGGAAATACTAAACTTAGCCCACCTGTTCGTAAAATGGACTTGTCCGACATTTCCGGGTCGGCTTCTATTTAGGGAGTCATCATTATTCAAATTTTGGTAAATATTTTTAAAACTTTGTACATTTTATCAACATCCTATAAGAAATATACCACTCGGGGTCGGTTATCGGTGAAATAGTTCCTTTAAACTTGTAGAATATTAGTAATGTAAGAACGATGTTACCAAGGATACGTTAGATCACGGGGGAGGTACAGCGACATGACGTCAGCCCATTATGACGTAACTCAAAAAGCGCACTTTAACGCAGGATAAAGTATAGTAGGCGCCTTTGATCTTTTTAAGAAGCACTTAGAATTATCATTAAATGTTTGTTACATGTTCATGTGATAATTTTTAACTTGTCGACATAAACATTTATTCTGATTAAACGTTTGAATAAACCCCAAATACAAGGGCTTGGAAAAGAGACGCATTGTAGTGTGTTTCCCTTCATCTTGTTGGGCGGTCGGGTAGCCTAGTGGTTGAAGCGTTAGCTCGTCACGCCGAAGACCCGGGTTCGATTCCCGACATGGGTACAATGTGTGAAGCCCATTTCTGGTGTCCCCCGCCGTGATATTGCTGGAATATTGCTAAAAGCGGCGTAAAACCATAACTCACTCACTCACTTCATCTTGTTACCGGTGCAACGTTTTGTCGAGGGAGTAACAATCATACACAAATAGGCTTATTTGCAATGTTCATACATATTTCCATAATTTATAATCATAAAGAACGTCACACAAGAGAAGACTACTATATAATATAGTGTCACTCCTGGCCTGTCTGTCCTTTGTGACGTTGTCCGTCATTTGTAATTAAGGATTGCTGACTGACACCCACAGCGACATCCACCTTTCATGCAGGGCAAGTCTCCGCTTCACTATAGGTTATTTAGGCATGAATATCAATCAAATTTATTTATTTATTTATTTATTTATTTATTTATTTATGTATAATATAAAGTAAATTTATTCATGTTCATTCAAATCAAAGTGCATAAGAGTCATTGCATATATTAGCCAATGGGAACGCGGCATTTTATATTCAAACGATAGCCAATGGTTATCGTACTTCTGTTGATGTAATTATTATCATGTATATAACAACGGGTCCACCTGAAAAAGTTGTCACACTCTTCGTCGGCGTCTACCAGACAATTCAGTGGCTGATATCATGCGCATCGATCCAAGCCATTGGGGTCGATGACATGCATCAACCAGGTCAGCGAGTCTGACCACCCGATTCCGTGTTATTCGCCTTTTACGGCAAGCATGGGTTGCTGAAGAGCTATCCTACCCCGGATCTTCACAGGTCCCGGTACTAAAGGCTCTACATACAATAAGACTGACGTTCGTTCCTATATGGTCAGTCTGTCACCTTGTTAGCCATTACATCCTGGACTATTATTAGGATAAGTACGTGGTATAAGCAACAGTATCATAAGCATATGTGTTTATGAATAACTATCAACTAGTGACGAGGCCAGATTGTCGCGAAAAGGTGAGCGTTTCCTGCCCCGCCGGCGGCATCCGTCATGAACACATGCAAAGGCACGTCAGTTTCTAAGCGATACTGAAAGGTACAAATACTCTTGTGTATAATAACACCATTATAAACATTTATTTTAAGAAAAACATAGTTTCCCACAGTGAGCACAACAATGGCACATGTAATTCGTTTTGTGGATGTTTAAAATCTTAAAATGTGAGATCACAAGTGAAAGACGTGTGTGAATACATGCAATTTCATTTCTTTTTTTTTGTTTAACGCCGCACTCAAATATTCCAACTATATGATAGCAGTCTGTGAATAATCGAGACTGAACCAGACAATCCAGTGACTGATATCATGCGCATCGATCCAAGCAATTCGCTCACTTCCGGTAGAATGCATGCACAACTTCGGGCTTTCATCCCTCATCAGTCTGATACGCCGTGCTATAACTAACATACAGTAGACTACGTTAATAACGAACATGCTTATAACGAACTGACCGATATAACGAACTTATGTTTTAGTCCCTGCCATTTGTTGCATTTATGCTGTTTAAATGCTTATGATGAACTACGGTTGTAACGAACTAAAATTTGTGGTCCCTTTGAGATCGTTATAACCGTACTTTACTGTACTGCTCAAAGTGGTTTTAACTCCCCCACCGTATTACTCAATACTGCAACCGTCAACATGTTTATATGTTGTTTAACGCTGCACTCACCAATATCCCAGTTATATGACGGCGGTCTGTAAATAGATGTCATCAGCATCGATCCACTCTATTGGGATACGATGATATGCATCAACCAAGTCAGCGAGCCTGACCACCCGATCCCGTTAGTCGCCTCTTTCGGCAAGCATTATCGCCTCTTAGGACAAGCATGGGTTGCTGAAGACTTATTCTACCCCGGATCTTCACGGGTCGAAGGGCATACATGTTATGCAACCAGTTCAATAGCTTACATGTTGGAGATGCCGGTGCTGTATTCTGTGAAGTACATAACGGTTTTTACAGAGTCATAAACTAAACTATATTACATATTTACAAACAGGCGAATCTTACAAACACAACTACACATCTTACAATCAACAATAAGAAAAACCGTTTTGTGATTTCACACATTAGATCAAGCATTTATTAAATTCATTTCGAGGTTTCTTCGCTGCTGGCTTTTGAAAAGCATTTTTTGACATAGGCATGTGATGACATTCGCGAAAAAAACCGTTATGATATTAACCCAATAGTATTATGATCATTGATAACATGTTTTCCGAAACATAATTTATCCGAAATACGTAATTTATTAAAATAGATAAATAAAATTCATACAATATAATACATATATATTTACCAGTCTGCAAGATTATGTTACAGTGGCTTTTTGCCGACATGCAGACTTATTCATAAAGCGTTATTCACACAGTGCATGTTCAAAGTGTTAAAAGTAAATTCCAATAAATAAGTGGCATAAGTGGCAAACCAAAAGCTACAGAGCTTATATTATTCATATATCGCTATGCATATTGTTTAATTCGGTGACGGCGGTGAGATGTCAAGGTAGTGAGGCATGAGCGCCACCTGTCGGGACTGAGATGGGGATGCCAAGCCTTGAGCTGGCATGGGCTATTGGTCTTGTTTCGTCTCGTCCGGCTCTGTACCGAACTGGACAACGTGAGCAACGCTGGGCTTCTTTTGTTTCTCTCTGGCCCAGGGCTGGACCGTCACCTTGAGGAAGGCCAGGTACACCACGAGGCTGACCACACAGAGACCCACTATCACCATGAAGCTGTTCCGCCACTCCTCCTGGCTTTTCTGCAATCAGCAAAATACAAATTTGGATACCAACTTGGGAAGTTTACCAAGATTTATTAACGCCTGTTTCAGCTAAAACTCGTAATATTTAAAAAAATCTGCCGAATAATAATGGCACATGCTTTTAGAAAAAGGGAGTATTTGTTTTGTTTCTTGAGGTTTACTTTGTTAAAGAAACATGATGAGGGTGAGTGAGTGATGGTGGTTTAATATCCGTAAAATGATTTAATTTGTTTGTTTTTTAACGCCGCACACAGCAATATTCCAGATGTAAATAATAGTCTGGACCAGACAATCCAGTGATTGACATCATGATCATCGATCTACGCAATTGGGATACAATGACATGCATCAACCAAGTCAGCGAGCCTGACCACTCGATCCCGTTAGTCTCCTCGACGAGCATAGTCGCCTTTTACGGCCTGCATGGGTTGCTGAAGACCTATTCTACCCCGGATCTTCATGGGGAACAAGCATGGGTTGCTGAAGACCTGTTCTACCCCGGATCTTCATTTGGAACAAACATGGGTTGCTGAAGACCTGTTCTACCCCGGATCTTCACGGGGAGACAAGCATGGGTTGCTGAAGACCTCTTCTACCCCGGATCTTCACGGGGGACAAGCATGGGTTGCTGAGGACCTATTCTACCCCGGATCTTCACGGGGGACAAGCATGGGTTGCTGAAGACCTATTCTACCCCGGATCTTCACGGGGGACAAGCATGGGTTGCTGAAGACCTGTTCTACCCCGGATCTTCACGGGTCGCAAGTAGTTGAAAGAAAGAGAAACGATCCACGTCTTAGGGTTGCGATTCTACAGTGGCCTATATTTCATATAGCGATCTTGGGGCTCCGACTACCCAAGTCGTTGGTTGGTTTGTTGTTTAACGCCGCACTCAGCAATATTCCATCTATATGACGGCGGTCTGGACCAGACAATCCAGTGATTAATACCATGAGCATCGATCCACGCAATTGAGGCCGATGACATGAATAAACCAAGTCAGCGAGCCTGACCACCCGATCCCGTTAGTCGCTGAAGACCTATTCCACCCCGGATCTTCACGGGTCGACTACCTAAGTAAACAATATTACGACAATCGCAGCACAGAAGCTTTGTAGATCGGGACCAGATGACAAAGCCCTATTAGTCAGCGCCTGGATCACACAAGAGTGCTGGGTATCTATTCTTTCACAGGAATCCCCACAAAATATAAATATTCTATAAGTTAAACTACCAACATTTGGCGTCATGGCACCCGTTATGATGGGCGCGAGCACTCCCGCCACTGCACTGAGGCTGTTGCCCATGCTGGTGATCACTCCCGCGTACCTGAAATCACCAAACGCATTGCAGACATCAAATAAACTGTGGCTTTCTGCTTTTACAGGATGATCTTGATATTGTTGTTGTTGGTGTTTAACGCCGCACTCAGCGATGTTCCAGCTAGAGATGGCAGCCTTTTAAATAGTCTTGACCAGACAAACCAGGGATTGATCTTATGAGCATCTTCTGGGGTCTGGGGACAAGGGCACGCTATCACCCATATCATCGAGTCCATTTAGCCGCCGTTAAAAACAGCTTCGGTTCATTGAACTATTCTTACCTTTTTTTTCAAAATTCCTCTTAATTCTATAAAAAAAATGTGCATTTTTTTCTACTTATGTATGGCAAATGTAGTCCAATAACACAGATTCATGAAAATGAAAGATGACAAAACCCTTTTCATAATCATAAGTGCTTGTTTGTTGTTTTACGCCGCACTCAGCAATATTCCAGCTGTCACGGCGGTCTGTAAATAATCGAGTCTGGACCAGACAATCCAGTGATTGGCATCATGAGCATCGATCTACCCACTTGGGATACAAAGACATGCATCAACCAAGTCAGCGAACCTGACCACCCGATCCCATATTTAAATCTATGTCTTAAGATTCAGATTCTCCACAAGATTGTGTGGACGGATGACTTCAACTTTCGAAGAGTTAACTTTCCCTTTGTGTCGAAATTTTGAGATACAATCGAGCATGCTCTTTCTACCAAGATTTCGAACAACGTCATACATCTCTTCCTCAGAAGTTGTTTAATCAAGGTTACAACATTCAGATGTCTTATGAATATGTAGAGGGTTTGTCGCTTTTATTTACTGAACGTGGTGACCATAGATATAAATTCATCTCATCTTCAAAGGTTCGGGGAAATTTGTAAAAAATGAAAGCAATCTGTCATCTGAAGTTGGAGAAAACAGAGTATGAAATGCAGGACTTCCTCATTGATGATATCGTTGTTATATGTAGGGATAGAAAAGTTAGCCAAGAAGTCGGAATCACCAATTGAGCCACCTTCTTGCTGATCTGATATGAATCGGAATTTTTCAAAATCAAAACAAGGTCATTTGTTCAAGAAGTTTAACTTATTATAAGCTTCAGATATATAGATGATCTGCTAATGCGGTCAAATAGCCATGTCCTTCCACTGATTTACCCCTCTGAACTAGAGACCCGTACAGACGCCTCGCCTGTGACATATTTAGATGTATGCAAAACTATCCACAAGAGTGTATAACAAGCGGGATGACTTCAACTTTCCGATAGTCAACCTTCCCTACATGTCGATCTAGAGCAATATTCCAGCAAACCTAGCTTTTGGTGTCTACATTTCACAACTTGTGAGGGGCGGTCGGGTAGCCTAGTGGTTAAAGCGTTCGCTCGTCACGCCGAAGGCCCTGGTTCGAATCCCTACATGGGTACAATTTGTGAAACCCATTTCTGGCGTCCCCCGGAGTGACATTGCTGGAAGTTGCTAAAAGCGGCGTAATACCAGACTCACTCACTTTCCACGAAGATTTCAAAGAGCGTCACACGAGTCCAGCCGTTGGTATCCTTTTGGTTCCAACGTGTTGGATATTTTAAATACTTTCATACGACTCTCGACACTATCTCAACAGATTTTCTTTTATCTGTTTAGTAAAGACAAGCATGGGTTGCTGCAGACCTATTCTACCCCGGATCTTCACGGGGGACAAGCATGGGTTGCTGAAGACCTATTCTAACCCGGATCTTCACGGGGAGACAAGCATGGGTTGCTGAAGACCTATTCTACCCCGGTTCTTCACGGGTGCATAATAATAAGAAATCTCTGCTTAAAGCAGTCAAGGTATTGTTAAGCCAATCACGTTTCACCAAGATATGTCCGGTAGTTGAACAGTCACAGAATATAGATCTCATAATTTCAGATAGAGATTTCAAATGCTATGCTATGGTGTTTAGGACGATAGGCGAGGTAACTGTGGGTCGTTTAAAGGCCTGCCAAACAAGCAAATTTGAAAATCCACTTACCTTGGAGCTATTTCAACTTCATTGACCTGATAAGCGGACTCGGCAAAAGCCTGCATGCAGAGTACTGCAGTGAACAGGAAGACGGCCAGGCTTCGTTGGTCGGCAGACACGAACCCCAGCCACACCAAGAACACGGCGGAACCAACATTAGCTGGGGACCAACATGTAATAGTTGAGTATTTACTAGTTGAGTTAGTGTGTGTGTGTGTGTGTGTGGGGGGGGGGGGGGGGGGGGGGGGTCGTGAGAGGGACGTGCAACGGACATTTCTATTAAAGTAAAATATTAGACTCAGTTCAAATAGTCGGTGGTTGCTATGTTTCAAAACGGCACTGAAATCCCCATTTCGTACACAATGCTTCGTAGGGTTGTGAGCTCATGCAATGATAAGACGTTCACATTCGAGCCATCCTTGGCAATCAAGTGAAGCGTGTCACATGTGGCCAGCCAAGGATGTTTATGCACTGGACCCCCGAATGTTCATACGGAGAGACATAGACAGGCCCAGGTACGTCCTTCACAATGACTTACACAGTGTCTGGAAGATGATCCGAGTCCACTTGATAGATAAGACCTTTCTCTTGACCAGCAGGTCCGCCAGCATACCGACCAGCACCGTGGACAATCCCCTCGCCAAGTGTGGGACAGAAGACAGCAACCCATTCTGCACAACAACAAAGCCCTCGACTATAGCGACATGCAATATATGGCTCCAGGTCTTCCCCGGAGAGTTCAGGAGAGGCCGGGAAATGTTTCCATAATGAATTGTATGTGTAATATACAGTTTTACCAATACAATACATACCTCGGGACCCATGAAGATCCGGGGTAGAATAGGTCTTCAGCAACCCATGCTTGCCGTAAAAGGCGACTATGTTTGTCGTAAAAAGCGACTAACACGGGATCGGGTGGTCAGACTCGCTGACCTGGTTGATGCATGTCATCGACCCCAATGGCGTGGATCGATGCGCATGATGTCAGTCACTGAATTGTCTAGTCGAGATTCGACAATGTACAGACCGCCGTCCTTTAGCTTGAATATTGCTGTGTGCGGCGTTAAACAACGAACAAACAAAACAAACAAATCCACAAGCTGCCGCCCAGATGACCCACCTACCTCGTATATATTGACGTGCAGGACTTCATGCATGTAGGTGGGGCCACTTGTGGTCAGACTATAGTCCACCCAATCGGAGACCATGTGAATCACCAGACAGCCAATCACAGGCTTGGACGTCAGGATTGCTCGCCAAGGGGTTGCAACATTCTGAAATGCAAAGCCCCTTGAATCACGCATTATGGTTTGGTTTGGCGAACACACGGTGTCGTGATTGATTTCAGTGATCCATTAACATAAGTTTCGCCTCTATTTCGCCTTTTAGCCAAGTTGAACCTGCTTCGGTGAATAATCGAGAGTACTTGCTTATTCTTTGGAGCTACTTTTTATATTTACATTGAAAGACAATACTAAATAATGTTCTACCCAACTTCGCTAAACGGTATATCACCTAAAAACATGAAAACCTAACCTAATAATTAAGAACATTAAACGTTTTTATAACTCCAAATTTAATCCAAGCAAATAAGAAGGGCGACAACTCCAAAGTGACAGCAACAAGGGAGAGAACTCACAATGAATTAATTCGTATTATTAATCGTTTATAACACGATGCAGTTATCACTTGGGTCTAAATCATTTCGTATGGATGGTATGGATTTTTTTTAATGTGGACCAGATCGTTGGAATATAATTGTCCTGTAACGAACCTCCTTGTACGAGATGTCGATGTTGGATACGATGTAGTCGCGCTCCCGACTGGAGATACGGGGATCTGTGGCCGGGTTATTCGCCGTCAACAACTGCCACAGCACAAACCAGATGAGGCCTCCCGCACCTGAAGATGGATGTTGCGTCAACCAAGGAATCGGAGTCTCTATGCTTACTGGATAAGAACTACTATAAGAATAAGAGTTTCCGCAATTGCTAATGTAAAATCTCATAATTTGATATTTTACTAAATATCTATTAGCCCCATGGTGCCATTTGGTAGCATTTTGTTTTTAAATCCAAATTTCTTTTTATTTCAATTATTTGATTATTTTATATGTTTAGATTTTTTTCTGTTGTTTCCATTACATTTTCGTACTTCCAATTAGTTTCTCCTTTTTTCTCTCGTTACCTTGATTGTTTTCTCGTTATTTTAAGTTTATCTAAAAAACTCGAAATTGTGATTTTTCTCTCGCTGCTTCGAATATTTCAATAATTTTCATGAAATTACGAATTTTGATTCTTTACTTCGAATATTTTCTCGTCATTTCAAAATTTTATTTAAAAAAATCCAAATTTCAATTTTTTAAAATGAACTAGAAATAAAGAGAAACAATAATCGAAATAACAAGAAAGAACTCGAAATTGCGAGGAAATATTCAACTCCACCAGTAGTGTTAGAACCAACACCAGTTCAGTCAACATGGCGAGTGCGAGAAGTTACAAGGGCTCTGTAAGCCATTGTTTTAAAATGATCAAGTTGATGCACAAACATGCATGCCACAACCGGATGATGAATGAATAAATGGACGTGGAATATTTATCCAATTAATTTTTCGGAACCAAAAACAAAAAATATGTGACGTCTCATTGCACATCAGCACTTGGGTGAACGACTGAAAACGATAAAAAGTAGTACCGGCGACCAATGAAAAAGATATTTATACGAAAACTGTAATTCTTAGGAGCATTACAGAACATTTAATACCCTCTGTCAGGCTTCCCTTGCGGGTAAGGATGACAATGTTATTATATACTTCCGTGTGAAAGACTCTAAAGTTGAGAAAAGTGATAGTTTCATTGCAGTGAACATAACACTTTGACGGAACTGTGGTCTTACAAGCGTTACCTCATCTAAAATTATCTCCCTTTATTAAATTATCTCCCTTTATCGTAGGTTTCTCGCCTGTGCACCAACTGTTAACTTCCTATTTACGTTAGTTCCACACTGACATGACAAAATAGTGACAGATTGTCATTAATCGAGTTTATATTGTCTCTTGAGCTTTGTTATTCTCTTGAAAATATTTCGTTATAAACTTTAAATTTCTCATTTAATTCGTAAATCGAGACTCTTCGTTTCGCAAAGCGCCATTTTGGTTTATTGACCAGCGTGTAATCGTTCGCTTTTAACAAGTCTCGTAGATTTCGAGAAGATTTTTGTTGTTGAAGTCGATTTTGTATATAATCATATCTCAAATGTATGATAAATCTTTTTGACAAGGAATTTTAAGATTTTGCAAATACGGAACTACAATTGCGGAAAGTCGCATTTACACGAGGTAGTGAAACGTCCCTGCGTGTTAGAATCTTACCGTCGTGTCTTTGGATATCAACTACACCATCACTCGTCGATTTTAGTTTTCAACACCATGGCAAGCCTCGGCGTCGAAAAGTTAAAATCGACTGGCGTTGATATATATGATATGAAGGGAGAAGGGATGAGGGTCCCCATGTAACGTATATGAAGAATACACCAAGTCAGAACTGCACATTAATACCTGATATATAAAAGCTGAGCTTCCAGCCGTCCTCCATGACGTTGCATAAAACTCCAGTGAGGGAAAAAGCCAAGACTGTTCCAAGGAAGCGTCCTGAAACACGCTTGCGTTTGTTAACACTCCCTGAAAACTATCGCAAACTATACCATACTGTAATATTAAGGGTTAGGGGTCAGTTAATCACTTTACAAATTATATGACGAGCAAAAAGGAGTTCAAGTCAATAAATGAGGTGAGGTGAAATGGGGTTCAACGTCGCGTCCAAGATTATTGAACTTATATAGCGACGTGCATGCACGTGTATGTGTGTGTGGCTGCTTGTACTAGCCCGGAGTCATGCTGATTAACAGTGCTAGCCCACTGAGATACCATGCCGCAGTTTAACACGAGTACCCCACTCAGACACAGTATACTGACTCTCAGCCGACCAGTCCTGGTATTATCCCTTAATGCCGAGCGCCAGGCAGGTAAACAACAAGTACCATCTCCGGGCGGCCGCAGACGGAGTAGGTAAACAATAAGTTGTAGCAGTATCACTCGGTTAACCGAGGTTAACTTGTGCTATGTCACGTGACTTCCAATGACCCGGAAAAAGCGTGCATCATTTTGCTTTGAAGCGGGGTATAAGGGATTTCCCCTCCCACTCAGAAATCCAAGTGCAGCCTATGCTCTTCATTGCGGGATATAAGGAATTTATTCTCCCGTTCAGAAAGTTGTTTCCCTCCCAGGCGGGATACATAAGTCCTTATCGTACCTCCGTGTCAGAATGATGAGATCTGATTGGTTCACGTGATCTTGATCAATTACTTTCCATATAATACTCCAGTTGTGCGATGAGGCTAGTGATGTGACATGGCGACTGCTGACTCACCGCTAGCACTGATGGTGGACAGCCTGGCGAGTTCATTCCGTGGCGCCCACTTGCCCCACATGCTCTGTAATCCTGGAAACATGGTCGCCTGAAACACACGCATCATCATCATCATCATCATCATCATTATCGTCATCGTCATCATCATCATCATCGTGGTGTTCATTATGACGTTGTTTGTAGCTGTTTGCACTTAGTTCTATCAATAATATTGCTTTAAAGTTGATTATTAGGTCGACTTCGGTACCACTTGTATCCTCTGTCCAACTACTACTACTACTACTACTACTACTACTACTACTACTACTACTACTACTACTACTACCACTACTAGTACCAACGCTACTACTATTACTGATACTACTACTACTACTACTTCTACTACTACAACAGGGGCGGTCGGGTAGCCTAATGGTTAAAACGTTCGCTCGTCACGCCGAAGACCCGGGTACAATGTGTGAAGCCCATTTCTGGTGTCCGCCGTGATATTGCTGGAATATTGCTGAAAGCGGCGTAAATCCATACTGACTCACTCACTACTACAACTACTACGACTACTACTACTCAATAAGCATGACAACGGTATCAAGATCTCTGGACAAGTTCTTGTGAAACAAGAAAGCCATATTCAACGTTATCATACTCATAATCAGTTACCGATACGTTCATCAGTTCACAGTAAATATTGAATGCGTACGGCGCCCATCCCCGTGATGAGCCTCAAGGCGTAGATGAGGCGGAGCTCCAGCGTCAGACTGTGTGGGATGATGATGGTGGCCACGGCACAGACCATCAGGCCGCCGCCCATGTAGTACCGGATCACGTCATGCTTCAAGTACCAAATACCCAGGACCGTGCTCGAGCAGATGCCGGCGAAGAACATGGCGAGAATGAGCGACTGCTCCGTCTTGTCCCAGGGAAAGCCGCTACTCTGGAATTTAAAAAATCAGCGATATTCAAAATGATGGGAAGAACGTGCGTACGTGCGTGCGTGCCGCAACAAGGCCGGTCCCTGGTACTACCAGTTTGGATTTGCTGGTTTGTTGTTTAACGCCGCACTCAGTAATATTTCAGCTATATGACGGCGGTCTGTAAATAATCGAGTCTGGACCAGACAATCCAGACAATATCATGAACATCGATCCATGCAACTGGGATCGATGACATGCATCAACCAAGTCAGCGAGCCTGACCACCCAATCCCGTTAGTTGCCTCTTACGACAAGCATAGTCACCTTTTACGGCCTGCATGGGTTGCTGAAGACATATTCTACCCCGGAATCTTCACGGGTAACCAGTTTTGAGGAAAGTAGTATTCGGTCTGGTGATTGTAAATAAAGCAACAAACTATTTTCATAAGATCTGAAAGCAGAGTCGACTGTACAATTCCGACTTTATCATAGCACGTGTTGATGAATCACTAGGAAACCTTGTCGTAAGAGGCGACTAACGGGATCGGGTGGTCAGACTCGCTGACTTGGTTGATGCATGTCATCGATCCAAATTGCGTGGATCGATGCTCATGATGTCAGTCACTAGATTGTCTGGTCCAGACTCGATTATTTACAGATCGCCGTCATATAGCCGGTCATATTGCTGAGTGCGGCGTTAAACAATAAACAACAAACAAACCAGAGGTTCGCGAAAAGGTGAACGTATCCTGCCCCACCGGTGGTCTCATTGCAAATAGTACCCCCAAAATCGGTAAGATAATGTCATAAGAAACGTCAGTGTCTACTTCACAACGATGACCTTAGTCGGACATTCACTTTGTCCCAAGGATCTTAGTATGGTTTTTTTGTAGTATGTCAGCTATGATGGACTCGGTCTGTACGTCATTGAGTCTGGACTGGACAATCCGATTATTGACAATATTCGCAACGATGCACGCCGTCGGGGAGCGATGACACGCTCTCAACCAAATCACCCGACCTGACCTTCCCGTCCATTAAGTCACCCCGTATGACCTGCATAGGTTGCTGGGGATCTATTCTAAACAGGGACGGGTGATTATTTGGACACAGAGAATCTCACCTGAGTGTCTTTTGATATCTACAATGTAGATATCGCTTGATCTCACCCAAGCGATATCTCCTTTGGGGGGCAATTTTCGATGATAAAAATAAATAATGAGAAAAGAGAGCACATCAAGAAAACAACCATCATACGATTTCAAAGTAGATATTGTAGATCTTATGGTTTTTAAAAATTACATACATTTTTAAATTATGTTCTATGGCATCTCAACAGTGATAATTTTACAGAGCAATGTTTTCAACATGAAAGAGTAAGGTACCTCTTTAGACACAGCCTCCGTTTCATGGGGGAAGGTTGAATTTGAAGAAGATGACGTTGTGTTAAGCCACGGAGAGCTCCCAACATCTCCGTTGACCATACACACGATGGCTATGCTAAGCTGGTCCCGCATGGCGGACACCCAAAACATGGCGCCGAAACCCATGATGGCCAGCGTCCATCTCCGGGGGATGGCACATCGACAACCTGTCAAATAAATAGAACGTTGAACAATTGATGAAAATATGCATTTTATACTCACACGCAAAAGAAACACAAGTGGTTTTAGGCAAATAGGTAACAAACACGGAACCATAAATTGATACGAGTTTTAGCATGTAGTGATGCCTGATGGTGTTATCAATATTTTTGGTTGCATTTTGGAAGCCCCGAGTAAAAACGCAACATAAAAAAACGAATCGCCAAAACGAACCATTTCAAAGAATATGTGGGTATCATGCACCCATTTCTCGCGAAATCGAAAATGCACGAACTGTCGCGAACTGTAGTGGGTATAAAACTGTGGCCGATTCTTGGACCTACCACTCCTTGCTCAACAATGTCACGCCTAACTCAAATTCAGAAACCAGGCTATCGGACGTTTGGAAGCTGGAGAGTCTGTCCAAGAAGTTGCCCGTCATTTCAACGTTAACATAACCACAATTTACCATCCCTGCATCGATACAATGCTACACAGACTACAGATGACCTTCCTCGGAGCGGTCGTCCTAGGGTCACCACACCTCGACAAGATCGGCAGATTACCCGTCAACACCAGCGACATCCGTTCCTAACGGCAAGTGAAAGTGCTCGACAGACCATAGGAACACAAAATCGACACATTAGCCGGGACACTGTGATCCGACGTCTCCGTCCCAACAACCTCAGATGTCGCCGACCAGCACGTCGTCCTGTTCTCCAACCACGGCATCGACAAGCACGACTTCTGTGGGCACAGGGTCATCGCAATTGGCGTCATCTTGAGTGGAGGCGTGTCATCTTCTCTGATAAAAGTCGCTTTTGTGTCTCCCATGCAGACGGAAGAGTCAGAATTTGGCGGCGTCGAGGTGATCGTTTCGCTGACAGGAACGTTGTGGAAAGGGATCCATGGGGTGGACCTAGCGTCATGATATGGGCAGGGATTGGACTTAATGCAAGACTTGGGCCAATGTGCTTTCGGAATGTTGGTCAAGGTCGGGGACACGGCGTCACTGCTCAGCGGTATATCGACCAAGTGATCAGATCCCGCGTTGTTCCATTTTTTGCACAACATCAACAACACATTTTCCAGCAGGACAACGCTCGTCCCCATGTTGCCAGAGCTACCATGGCCTTTCTGCAACAACAAAACATCCGTGTTCTACCGTGGCCAGCCCTCAGCCCTGATCTGAACCCCATCGAACACTTGTGGGATGAGGTTCAAAGGCGTCTGCTCAATGTGCGCCCAGTCCTTACAAACTGCCGATGTTCTACGCTCAGATGCTCTGGATGTGTGCAGGAGGATCCCTAGGGCCTTCACAAATCGTCTGATCCACTCAATGTACAGGAGATGTGTGGCAGTGATCAATGCTAATGGTGGTCACACCAGGTATTGACTGACATTTTGGGTATTGACCCGAAACTGTGTAAGCCCTTAACATTTGAAAAAAACAATTATGTCATCTGCCTTTTAATCCATTAAACTGTCTTCAGTCACATTTTTGTCAATCTTGCCCTATTAGTATTTCATGTCTTTACTGTTGAAAATAAATAACATGTATACTGCACACTCGACTTGCGTTTCTTTTGCGAGTGAGTATATTTCAAGAACAAGTCTGTCATTTGCATTAGCTGTATGAAAACATATATTATCAGGAAAAATAATACAAAGGCAGCTGTGAAACAAGAAAGTTGTGTAACACAGCACCTTGCCTTTAAGTCGAGTGGGAGTTATCTCCCCCAACCGGAAGGGAACGTCCGGTTCTAGGAGGCGTGCACCTCCAAGATGGCGGCTCTTCCGGTTCCGGGAGTTGGCGTGTGTGCGCATGCATCCAAGACGGCGGCGGGGGAGGGGAGGGGAGGAGGGTGTCTGTGTGTGTGTGTGTGTGTGTTGGGTTCTTTGGCGTTCTTTGAGTGTGGCAATGATTAAAGGGTTTCTTTCGGGAGAGTTGGGTTGCCCTGAAAATGGCCGTTTTGAGAAGAAAAACTACCAACACTGGAACGGGAAGTGGAACGAGAACGGAAACTTCATCCTAGATACTTTGGCCGGTAGACTCAGAAGTAGCTGCATGGCGGCCAACGGCCAAAGTAGCTACAGTTGCAGCATGGTGTCTTGTGGTGTTCTGGCTTTGGCTTGAACTCGTTGTCAGCACGAGCCAATGATTCGATCCACTTCGATGGTGCACGAGTCAACCATTCGCCCCACTTCTCCAATGGTGACGACACAATATGTATCATAACACCTTCTGTAGCCTTTCCTCCTCCAGGGGTTGGAGCCGAGGTGCTCTGACGAGCAGCCTTGGTGGTCCGCTGTTGACGGGGAACCTTTCCTCCTCTGAGGGATGGAGCCGGGACACTCTAACTATGAGCCTTTCCTCCAGGGAATGTAGCCGGAGTGATTGTAGCCGGGGTGGACTGACCTGTTGTCTGCATGGTACGAGGCATCTCTGATGATTTTTTCACAATCCACCACCGGGGGATACGTTGGGTGATTTAACAGATGAGCTGGCTGGAAACACCATCAAGACGTTTGTGTCAGGGGGTCCCAAAAACTATGCCTATGAGTTAATGCACCCAAGACCCGATGGAACGTGCAACACGACCTGCAAACTGCGTGGTTTCATCTTGAATTACAGAGCCTGTCAACACCACAACTTTGACACCATGAAATACCTAATTGTCTGGGGATAAAATCAGGGTGTGTCACCCTCATTTGATCATGCGTGCCACTTCACCATGGGAACGAGTTACTGACCCAAGCCACCACAAAAGACTACCGCATCGTCTACACCAAGCTTCGCATCTTCTACAGCACAAGCACAGGTCTGCCTGTAGACACGGTCCCCTTTGGATACAGAGACTAGACATTTTGTATGATGTTCTTAACGTTGTGTTGGCTGTTGTTGTTTTACCTTGAGCTTGAAGACATTCATGTCTGGAGAGAGTGCCATGCACTGTTCACTTCAATCCGTGAAGCCATGGAAGAAAAACAATGATCCGAAAGTGGATTGAAATGCAACCAATGAGAAGCTAGGGTTTTCGACCAATGAGAGGCCGCACACGCCCTGTGCGGGCCTCTGATTGGTCGAGCAGCAGGTGTGCTTTCTCTCCCATGGAGCATGTCTTTTCCTATGGAAAAGAAACACAACGTCTTTTCCTGCTGCTGTCTAAGCAGCAACATCATGTCCAACCTTAGGAGGGAAAGTCCATGGCCCAAGGCACCGTGGGAACACGTGCCAGGTGACGTGTATGACATCGTTTATGTTTTAGAACAGCGAGGTCTGATGAGCAGTTAAGTGCGCCCAGCATAAGCAACAGCAGCAGCAGCAGAAGTCCCCGTGAAAGACAAAAAAAGACAAGAGACCCTCCTTTTTCTGTCAAGGGATGTTACAGCCCTTGCCGTCAAAGGAAGAAATCGGCTTTTGCAGTGGTTTGTGATTGTTGTGCCGAACCTGAGAGCAGGACGAGTCCCATTGAAAGCTCAACATAAGACGTGGTTGCAGAAACATAAAGATACCCTGCCTAAAATTGTCAATCCACAGGCATTCCTGTGGATGAACATCTTGACTACCTAATGCAGCACAGTGGTAGTGGAACACTTGCAGGAGTCTTGATATGCATTCTGTTGCATTATTTTCAAGCACCACTCCTCAAACGGGGTAACACCAGGTGCCACCGACCTACAACAACAACAACAACAACAACAACAACAACAACAACAACGACTACTAAGCAAAAAGTAAAGGCTCATGAAAATCTAACGAAAGCATATAAAGCTGATGCACCCATACGGTTGGTGCAAATGGGAACACCAAAAGAAAGTCCTCCAAGAAAGCAGATCAACAGTTGCAACTCCCTCCTGCCACTGCCTGATAAAAGAGAGATGCTGCACAGATCAGGTGTCTCATTCAGGCTAACACCGCCATGTAGGAAAGATGTCAGGAAACAGAAACACGCTCTGTGTCATTTGTGTGCTGCCACTCCAGCAATGCACAAAGCCATTCTCAAACATGCTCCTTCCGATCTCATCCATGCCCTTTGTGAATGTGTGGTAAACTTGTATGCAGGCAATATTCCCATGACCATGACTCCATGTCAAAACTTGCAACGGCATGGCAAAGTCTTGAATACGCTCATGAAATAACAAGTACCTCTGAGCAAGAAACGTAAAATTCTTCAACATGGAGGAGGATTATTAGGAGGGTTCATTCCTCTTATTGGTTCTGCCCTTGCCTCTTTGTTTGGATGAAAGTAATAAATAGTCTGACACCAGGAAGGTTGGGATCAGTGTGATGGTGTTAGTGCCTGAAGAAACATGGCAAAGTCTACAGGCCACCAAACAACGTCATCGTCAGTCACTTTGCACCCCTCTCTTGGAAAAGAAACGTCTCCAAAATTTGGAAGAGACGGATACGTTGATGCAGAGGTCACAGCAGATTCTCACAAGCCGGAACAAGAATACAACTGACTGTTGCAACAGATGCTAGAGTTGCAGGGCAAACAGCGCAACAACAACAACAACAACAACAAAAACACTACCACCAAACCACAACAACCCAAAGTGACACCACCACCACCATCAACGATGGGCACCACAGGTAGACATGCCCCACACCCAGTTCCCCCTCCCCAAGTTCTTTCCCCAGTCACAAAAAGAGAAGGAGGCAGTGGCGGCAGATGGATCCACAAGCGGAAGAAAAAGAAGATGAGATGCCAAGCCCATGGTTGATGACCCCACCTCCCTCTGATACCAAACAGGAGAGATTCATCAGCCGGTGAGGTTTATGGATACCCTTTAACACCACATAAGAAAAAAACCTCTCCCTCTTTATAAAAAGCCATCCATGTACCGAGTGGCATCAGTTGGATGCCTGGTTGGAAAAAACCTACTTTCATCCTGAACATCCATCAAGTTTTGGTGGCTGGAGACCTTTGTGGAAAGCAGCATACATCCACACTCAAGATGCAAGAACCAGTAAAAGCAAGAAGAAAACCATGCCAAAACCATC